GTGGGCTGTTAGTGCAAAAACGCAGGCACGAAACCCCCCCTTGCAACATGGCAAAGAGGCAGGTGTGACTCCCCTGCCAAATGACGGGGCTCAAACCTGACACCTCTGCCAGGTTGCGTAGCCCTTGGGAACACCCGCGCAAGCACGAGGTGGACGAACATGAAGTTTGGCAAAAACATTTCGCTTATCTTGTTCCTCGTCAACCAATCATAACCTGCCGCCTCACCTACTTCAACAGTACCAATATGCAACCTGCCGGTCGGGCTTTAACTTACGAAATCGCGAATTTCTCGCGATTTCGGAACTCACCTTCATCAGAAAAACTAAGTCCTCGTTATTTCTGTCGAAGGGTTGCTCGCAGAAGTGAAGTCCGAGATGACTCTCTTACTGCACTTCTGCCGAATTTCGTTTCTACCGAGGGGGTCGTCACAGAAGAGATAGCCGAATTGCATTTCTGCCGAACTCCTGCAGAATGCAATTTTGCGCGAACAAGTTCTTGCGCCACTCTTCCCGAGGTCCTGCTGGAACGCATTTATGTAGAGTCGCTTCTGCGGAAAGGGTCGCACGCAGAAATGTCTTCTGCGCAATACTTCTGCAGAGGGCAACCCTTCTGCGAATGGCCCCTGGTGCCAACTCCGCAGAGGGTCTTGTACACTCTCGATTCTGCTGCGATCGCTTCTACAGAAGCCCAGAAATCTGTAGAAGCCATATGCAGAAAAAGGGCTCCTGTTCTGCCACTCCGACAGAACTGCTTTTCTGCCACCAACGAAAACTGCTCTTCTGCCACTTCCCGCAGAGCCTTGCCTTATCGACAAATCTGCTCTTCGTCGATGTGCCCTTCTGCAGGGCTCGTGTCCGCAAACTTTGTTGATACGCTACTTCCGCAGTCTTCTGCAACCTTCGCACGATCAGGGCTATTCTCAACAGTTTTCGTGACCTAACGGAATACCCTAGGCTTAACGAGAGCCCTGGTCGCAAGCTGCCCCCCGTTTCCTATGAGTTGCGACGTTTTTCCGGTTTGTACAGCGTTACCCTTCATTTCACAAAAACAAGTTCAAGATTCATAAACTTGACAGCAAACCATCATGAATTCGGGCTTTAAGTCATCATATTCCTCGTCATTTTCTACAGTTCGCGTCTGCAACAAGTTGCACGGTTAGTTACAGCGGATATTACGTTATCTCCAAATTTGCGACTTGCAAATATGGAGTACGATGAATAGGGGCGTTACGCAACAGGCAAACTAGATAATACAGTAGCGCTAGAATCGTAGGTGGGGTGGCGTATGCCGTTTTACTCGTTTTGTTTACGATGGATGCCTTGGGCCACTTGGCCAGTTTAGCAGCAATTTTGCTGCGTATCATGTAAGGGGTCATATGGCCTCTTAAAAAACACTCAACGAATCTGTTGTTTGGTAAAAAATACGCGGACAAAAAAAAGTCACACCTCATTATCGAACTTCCCGCAAGCAGCGCATGCTGAAAACGCGCAAAACAAATGATAATAAGGAAAACCCGTTCGTGGTCTCATGAAATGGGCTAAATGGAACAAAAATTTGACGTTTTTATTAAGGGGTTTCGTTAACCAATCACACGTTTTTACGGAAGCGAAAGAGACCGCCTTGAGAAAACCATTTTCGAAATGTGCACATAATAATGATGCTTGAGGAAACAAGGGTCATGTTTTCGTATAGGAAAATACATCAGCGCTCAGAATTAGGGGCCTCGATAACTTGTACGGTTAGTAACACGATATAAACAATCAAAATTAGTGAGCTCGCAACATGTTTCATCATGTGGGTTCCACCGTTAGTCAGAAACTACAGGAAAAAAGTTCCACGAATGGTCAGTAGAAGTAACCCTCGCCCGTTTCGGAATGTTTTCCCGCCCGCGCCAGCCTAATTTCGTCATCATTTTGGCTGTGGCAATCTTTTTCTCAAGCTCCAGGCGCAGTTCGAGAGAACTACGTAAAGTATTCCCAAATTAAAAATCGTTGGATGTCGCGTACACAAAATTCCAAAATAGAGACCTCGCGCATTTCTGTCACATAAGCTAATTGGGCCACAGCAGGCCGCACATCAGCTGCGACATTATTCAAACATTAACAAACGCAAAAAAAAAAAAACATTTGACACGAAATGGAAAAATCTATCCTGGATGGGCGCTAAGCCAATGAGGGGTGAAAATTAAACTGTAGTGTGCGTGCGCTAATTTGTTTCGAGCATCACAAGACTGTAGACTCGTAATTCGGCGGAAAAGTTTTCTGGTAATTACATTTGTTGAAAAAATCAAAGGCCAACCGGCAGACTTCTAATAGATTCGTTGTATTGAAATTAAAACAAAGATTAAATGCGGTTCTGAGAGCACCTTGAAGTGTTTTTAAACATATTTGTTTCCCAAAAATAAACCTCTGTAGCTATCTATATATGCTTTTGTTTTTGGACGATTCGGGAATGACAACAAGTTTATAGCTAGATTTTTTTTGGGGCCGTACATGCGGTAAAGACAAAGCCGTAATTTTTTATCATCGCGGGATGCGCTACACTCTGTAACAAAAGTATGTGCTTCGAAATAAAATCCTCTTTTTGTGCTTCTTGACAAACAAATGTCAAACGAATTTCAATTTGGGCATTTTGTGTTTTTTCGCTCGAACTGCGCTTGGACCTCGGGGAAAAATATCGCGCCCGCTATAATGGTGATCAAATCGGGCTAGCGCGGGTGGAAAAACGTTCCGAAATAGGCGAGGGTTACTTCTACTAACCATTCGCGGAACCTTTTTCTTGTAGTTTTTCACTAACGGTGGAACCCGGCTGATGAAACATGTTGCGAACTCACTAATTCGGATTGTTTATATCGTGTCCCTGACCGTACATGTTATCGAGGCCCGTAATACTGAGCGCCGATGTATTTTCCCTTTTCGTATCCGGGATGGTCCCTTCATGTTATGCGAGAAGCTTGAATATTTACGTAATTGGTTCAAAAAAATGGAAAACACCTCGAATGCTCGAACGCGAGGATTTGAATAGGACCCGAATCGTAAAACAGAAAGGATGAAAATGTTTGGACAGTACAGATGTTTGCGTACAACTTGCTGGTTATCCAACTACAATATTTCATTGGCCGTTGGGTCGCCATTTGGATTGCGACCTCAGTATATTGCAATTTGGTAGCATACAGGACGGTATTGGATTTCGCGAAAATATTTTGCAGCTTTCGTTCAGCCATTGTCAAATCGTACGGAACCTCGTGAGAAATCCCATTGGCAGACATGGCATTTTTCGATGTTGGCCGTACGCATTACAGTAGTTGTACGCCGTACGATCGGAGTACACATAGCTTGCGGTATTTTCATACCCAATATTTTCACAGAGGTGCCACGGAGAGGGCATTCACCCCCCAAAAGCAGCTCCTGAAGTCCCGATCCGGGTACCTTTGAAAAACAATTTGAACTTTGGTTTCTATACAAAACGTTTACTGTTCGATTTAGTGTTTCTCGAGTCAGATAACCTGACATCAGCTTAGGCAGTGCTCAAAGTTTTTGCCCACGTGGAGCCTACCAAGCTTAGACTGTAGGAACAAGGGGGTACTGTCTACGCACTGAGAAATGGTCAGGGTGGAAACAATAATTCTGCCGCCGCCTAGTTTCAGGATGAGATATTAACGAGGGAATAGTGTAGCGTGTTAGATCCTACCAAATTATGGACGGTAGGATAGTATCTGGACAAAAATGTCGAGGACTTCATGGCGTATCCGCGGTATTGTCTTTTGCGCTGTCTGGTTCGTAATTTAGGTTACTGTGCATGTCGCACCTCGGGTCACCCTGAACAGACTCGGTTGCCACTTTCACAGCCAGCGAACAGGACCATTGTGGTCTGTTCCAAGATACCTGCACCGTTCTGAACGATTGGACTGTAGCTTCGCACGCATTTTCGAGTAACTGATGGTTTGATGGTTTCCAAGCAAATTTGATAATCAGGGTATTCCGGAAAGGGACGGAATCGCCTCTGGGTAAACCCGTTAACAGAAGGAATCCTCCAAAAAAAAATCCGTCACCAAAAGAAATTGGCCTATACAAATTCGGCTGGCAAGGAATCAAGAGAAGGGGCCGGGGGGGGGGGGGGGGGAGGGGGGGGGGGTGTGGGGGGAGGAAAGGGGCGCGTGGGGTGGAGGTGGATCCCTAGCCCCTAGAGATTTCCCTACTACAAGTATAGCCCGTACGGATTTTGTTAAAAAAAAGGGTACTCGTTAGGCAAAGGAATCGCGCGAAATTGTTTCCGTAAGCTGGACGGATTCGGGGGGAAATCGTACCAAGAAACGGAATCGATTGAAATTGAACTATTAATTTCTTGATATTAAGAAACATTACCCTGTTAGATAGGTGCCTGTTTGATATAGATATGATGTTTACAGCCCATGCCACTACACTGTACCGCACCGTGCCCTCTAGTTTAGTTTCAACTTTTCCACGTAGTTCCTATTTCCGCTAATTCTGAGAGGCTCCTTGTACCAAAATCAAGTCGGAGTAGCCCCGGTTAGCAACAAAGTAGCCCGAAAAGAGCTGCAGCCGGATTGCAACGGGCAGCAAGAGACGTTTAGTCCCCAGTTGCAGTTACTGTAGTCAGTCCATTCCCCATACCGTGTTTCCGTCCTGGTCGGGTTGTCAGACCAGTCAGCCCTTCGTTCACAGCCCCCTTAAAGCCAGGAACCCAAGTTTCTAGGACCAGGGGCAAGTGTTTTACAGCTGGTTGGGAAACACCAGGTTTTGTGTCAGGGTGCGTGAATTGCAACACCCGCAGGCGATTTCATTGGTGCCTACAGCTCGCCGGCCAATCAGTAGTTTTAGTCCAAACTAACTGTTTTACAGTTGGTAAACTTGGGTCCCTAGCTTTAACCAAACCCCACCTGGACCGCTCCGCCAAGGTCCCTGTGGCTGGACCACTGCCCCCGCTGCCCTGCTCTGCTTCGCTCTCTTCGTCTTCACCCATTCCACAGCCCACCCGCACCACCACCAATCCAGTCCACCCTATCTCAAATCGCCTAGCAGATCCAGCATTTCTGTGGCGTGGGCTTCAGGCAATCTCCTTATATTAGGGCTAGGCATACCAGCTGTCTTTCCGTGCCTGCTTGAGATTACAACCTCCTTTGCCATCATCTCTTGGTCCCTTTGTGCGATCCGTGAAGATGAGGCGAGTTTACAGTGATGTTCCTAGTAATCAGATGCTCCACCCGCGCTCTCCGCGCGTTATCCGCAGCGCGTCTACGCCCAGCGCCGGAGGCTCCAGTTCCCCTTCTTCCGATGTTCCGTCCTCACCTTTCTTTGAGCGGAGCGCTTCCATTAGCAGCGGCGAGTTCGCCTTTCCGCAAAGCCCAGCGCAGGTCGAGGACCCCGGCACGCCAAGGCTCTTAATCCGTGCGTCGCCTGACGCTGCCGCTGCGGCGGAACCGGGTCGCGCCGCTCTAGATACCTCAGAAATCAGTCCACTTGAACTCGCCGCGGATTTTCGCGACGAGTCGTCTATAGTCGTTCGCCGCGCGTCCGGAGATTCCGCCATGGCTACTACAAGCGGTAGCGTCGCTATGGAAGCTCCTGTCGTGCCCAGGTGTGCCACGGCTCCCCTCACCCTGCGGAAACCGGCGGAATGGGCGGAATGGCACTGCTGGCGGCACGGTCGGCAGGGAAGCGCCATCCCGAAGCCGTCTATTGAAGGTGAGCGCCATCTCGTTGGTGTAGGTTCGACACTTGTACGGAGAATCGGTATCTGTCTTTCTGTGCGCTAATAACCTCGGTTTTCTGTTCTTCTTGAGCAGAGATTCGCGAGGCTCTCAGTGCAACGCACATCGCAGAATCACGCAAGAGTATTCAGCAATCCGCCGCCGACGCCTGGAAGGCGCAGGAAGAGTTTAAGCGCGGTGTGGAGAAGGCCATGGCGCGGCACGAAGCGGCGGTTAACTTTATGGGTGGAAATTTTTTGACCGGTAGCAGCAGCATGATTGGGCGGTTATTCGAGCACATGAAGGGCAAAAATTCAAGCAAGAGTATTAAAGCTTGATATTCCTGTCACCTGGGAACCTAAATGTAAATATGTGTGTTTTTGTTAGGAGTCATAAATTGTTTAGTGTCCAAGAGTTGGTCATTCTATTATAATTATGTTCCTGTCATTGTGATCCAAACCAAACTGGTGCTCACGCCTCGCATGGAAGTTTTGGGGGTGCGAAAAGCAAGGATCGAACAACTGTACAGATAACGCTAGGGTATTTACCTTTCAGGTAAGCATTGCTGAGGCTGATGACGTCAGCCGTCACGCGCTTGGCGCGTCTGGAACCATCAGATCGGGTTCATCCCAACATGGTACAGGTCATGTTAGAGCGTCGCAAACTCCGCAAATAATTGGCCCGTGGATTACCCTCAATTCGCGAATAATTGCGCTTATTGTCGTTCCACCTCTCGCATATGACCTGTACCATTTTTTCCTACTGGGTAGTAGGTCTGTTCGCTGAAATTTCTCTGAACAGTACCCCACGGTTTAAAAAATTCTGAACTGCGCCCACGTCTCCGATACACGCAACCACGTCAGCAGAACGATTGACGCGCTACAAGCCCATTCCATACAAGCTTATCTCTACTGAAACTGCACTCAAAATGGGACAGAAACCGAACTAGTAATAAATATACTTGTATTGACGGACGAGATTGAATTACGATGCGGATTATTCGTGACGACATTCAGAATTTTTGCAGATGAATGAGAAGATTGAGGGGCGTGTTATTATGCTCGCCTACTTTCGAAAACGAATAAGGCTACATGATTCAATAACCTCTCGTTAGGACGAAAAAAGTTTCGTAGAATCTCGCGATACGCAGGAGCGTGTTTCCGCATGTGTTGCGAATGGCCTTGCTCTCTGATGAATGGTCCCTCACCTTATGAGATATCTACAGACAAATTGTGCGATACGTAGCATCTTTCGGCCGGCATCACTGCCGGTTTTTTCACGAGGAAATTACTCAGGTTCTCTCAAAATCAGAGTTGATTTTGCGTACCACCCTTTTGTTACGCTAAGAACGCTAGGCGGCCATAGAGAGGCATGAGGGTTTAGCTAGGAGAGGAAGTTACGAGAGCAAAGAGGTCGAGATCAGAAGAGAGGGATACAGGGAGGGGGTTGTACCCTCTATAGTAGGTTTTTGTAACGCCTACCAAGCCTGCAATTATATATAACAAAAAAAATTAACAAACCCCCTAGGCTTGGTAGCGGCAAGCCCATTCCCACACGAAACGCCCCCAAAACTTTGGCCCCCCAATGTGCCGTAGCTGGTGATTCTGCTACCCTTCGTGCGAAGTAGTGACACACCCCCAGGGGGTGGCAGCAACGGCGTCAGCGGCGGCGGCGGTGTGCGGCGGCAAGACAGGCCAGCGGCATCAGCGGCGGCAACGGCGACTTCGACGGCGGCGGCGGCTTCGACGACGGCGGCGGCTACGGCGAGGCTCGCGGCACTCGTCGACGTGGCACGACCCGGCGACGACCGGGCATTGAGGCAGCAACTGCGGCTGGAGGAGAGGAAGACACAGAGGGGGAAGGGGGTGTGGTCCAGCAACACGCACGTGGCTAGCGTTGGCCTGGCGTGCGGGCGTCAGGACTGGCGACGACGCCACCACGGCAGCATGACGCCGCCGCCATAGCGCGACGTCGATGCCGCGGCGGCACGTCGACGCTGCCATGGCAGCATGACGACGTCGCCACGGCGTGGCGTCGACGCCACGGCAGCGCGTCGGGGCTGCGACGGCAGCACGACGGAGCCGCCATGGCAGCTCGGCATGGTCGCCACGGCGGCACGAAAATGACGAGAGAAGAGGGAGTACGCGGCGGAAAATTGGGGAGCAGGCCCGTGAGGGGGATTCTGCTCTGATACAATGTTACGCTAAGAATGCTAGGCGGCCATAGAAAGGCACGAGGGTTTAGCTAGGAGAGGAAGTTACGAGCGAAAAGAGGTCGCGATTAGAAGAGAGAGGGATACAAAGAGGGGGTTGTACCCTCTATAGTAGGTTTCTGTAACGCCTACCAAGCCTACAATTTTATATAACCAATATAATTTAACACATTTCGTCTCTGGGTAAAATTTTGAAATCATAAGTTTTCTCTGATTTATCACAGTTGACCTATGTACCACCCTGCAAGATTTTCAATAGAGGGTATACCCACATATTATTGTCGTACTGTATGTCAAACATATGTGGGTATGTTTAGTAGACTACATAGGGTCATGCTATAGAGAGTACAACCCATTAGCTATATACCCCCTGTATACTCCCATTCTACAAAAACAAAAAATTCTAACTTTGAAATGGTATCAGAAGTAGGTTAGGTCCCTCCGCCCACCCGCGTTTTCGCCTTAGGTACTAGCCGGCCCCGTCGCCTAGCGCCTAGCTGCCCAGCTGGCCAGCTGGCCGCGCTGGCCCGTTGCCTAGCTGGCCCGTCGGCCCCGTCTCCTAGCGCCTGCTCGCCCCGCGGCCCTGTTTCCTAGTGCCTAGCCGCCCGTGGCCCCGTTGCCCCTCCACCTAGCGCCTAGCCGCCCCGCTGGCCCTGCGACCCCGTCACCCAGCGCCTAGCCGCCCCTGTCCCCCCTCGTCTCGTCACCTGGCGCCTAATGGCCCCGTGGCCCAGTCGCCTCGTCGCCTTGCGCCTAGCCGTCCTGCTGGCCCCGCGGCCACGTTGCCCCTAGCGAAGTCGCCTTACCGCCCCATCGCCTAGCCGCCCCGTTCCCTAGCCGCCCCGCTGCCCCGTTGCCCAGCCGCCACGCGGCCTCGTCGTTCAGCCGCCCCGTGGCCTCGTCGCCCCGCTGCTTCGCGGCCCCGTTGTCCAGCCGCCCCACGGCCTCGTCGTCCAGCTGCCCCGCGGCCTCGTTGCCCCGCTGCTCCGCGGCCCCGTCGCCCAGCCGCCCCGCGGCCTTGTTGCCCCGCTGCTTCGCGACCCTGTCGCCCAGCCGCCCCGTGACCTCGTCGCCCCGCTGCTCCGCGGCCCCGTCGCCCGGCCGCCACACGGCCCCATCGCCCAGCTGCCCCATGGCCCCGTCTCCCAGCTGCTCAGCCCCCCCCGCCCCCCCCCCCCCCCCCTCCGCCGTGTTTCCCGGTCCCTGCTCGCTAAACCGGCCCTCTCCACCGTCCTACACTACGCCCCACCGTGCTGCTCTGCTCAGCACCGCACTGCACCGCGCCCCACCGCACTGCACCACACTGCACCGTGCCCCACTGCACTGCACTGCTCTGCACCGCGTGGCACCGTACTGCACGGCGGCCCACCGCGCTGCACCACTCTGCCCCGCGCGGCACTGCACGATACCGCATTCCACCGCACTGCACCGTACAGCACTGCTCCCCACTGCTCCTCGTCGCTCCGTCCCGCCCTTCACCATGGCTCCAGCGGCCTTAGTGACGGAATCGGTGCTGCGCTTTGACGCGGAGGGTCAGCTGGTTGAGTTCGACGCATGGCTCGTCGACCTCTGCCGTCACCTCACTGGTCAGCGGCAGGACGGCCACTCCCTGGCCATCCACGTGGACGGTACGCTCCCCTGCCCTGACCTCTCTGCTGCTCTCCCCGCTGATCCCATGTCTGCTGACGGTTAGTCCGCCGCCGCCGCTGCCCTTGTCTGTGCTGTCTGGCTATTGCGTGACGCATCCCTCAGCTCTTGATTAGCCATGCCCTTCCCCTGTCTAAGCGCCCCCGCTTCTAGTCGGCCAGGACTGCGCAGGAGTTCCTAGAGGCTGTTGTCGAGCGTTATTCCACCTCGTCCTCTGCCTCTGCCGGCCACCTGATCCTTCCCATGTTATTCCTTGATCTCGCGTCTTTCTCTACTGTTGCTGACCAGGCCAGGAGAGCTGGCGCGCTGCCTGCACTGAGGCCCAGAATCGTGTGTTCTAGCCCCCTATCTGCTCCACCCTTTACCTGCTTGCCACCCGCCTCCTTGACCGCCTTGCCACTGCCTACGACCACTTTCTGAGTCTGCACCCCGCTGACCTCACCCTCCCTGACTTTGTCGACACCCTGTCTGCCATAGAGACCCGTCAGCGCTGTATCGCCCAGTCTAGCGATACTGTACCCTAATTTTCAGGTTTGTGCTCCCGTTCAGTGCACTTACTTTGACGGTTCTGCCGCTGTAGCTGAGACATCCTCTGCTGCTGAGACCGCTGCCGCGGTGGCCGCAGCGCAGTCCCGTTATGGTAAGGCCCGCCGCCTCAAGGCTGGGCATGGCGGTGGTAGTGGAGGAGGGGGTGGAGGTGGTGGTGGTTTATCCACTGGCGGTAGTACCAACGAAGGGGCTGGGGCTGGTGCCTCGGAGCAGCAGCAGGCGCCACAGCTTGACCAACAGCAGTAGCAGTAGCCGCAGCTGCAGCAACAGTAGCAGCAGCAGCAGCAGTCGCAGCGGAGGGTCGGCCGCCTCCCGCTTTTCTGTGGCTTGGCGCTGGTGGTGGTGGTGATTGCGGTGGTCGTGCGCGTGGCTCATCGTCGGGTGGTGGTGCGAGTGACGGGCGTTGCTAGTACCAGCTCCAGACTGGTCCTCGCCGCGGCCTCGTGTGCGGCAAGACCGGTCATACCCCCACTCTCTGTTTCAGTCGCCTGGACGACCTGTTTTGTCTCCGCTACGGCCCCTCGCCGGACCTTCCCGACTAGCACAGTCTGCTCCGACGTGGTGTTTGGATCTTTGATATGGACATGGATGAGATTAGCTCTGCATTGTATATGCTGTATGTCGATAACTCTTGTGTGACTGGTTCCTATTACCCTGTGTTGCCTAGTGTAGGTATACCCAGTATGCCTAGTTTAGGTTCCCCTGTTGCGTCACGTGTAGGGCCCTTTGCTTTGTTTAGCCTTGGCTCCACCCTAGCTCCTCCGCCCAAAGGGGCCACTGCCGCGCTCTCCTTCACTCTCGACTCTGGCGCATCTCGGTGTTTCTTTCAGGACCACACTACGCTTACGCCGCTTGCCACTCTGCCGCAGTTGCCCTTGCAGACCCTTCCTCAGGTCCGGTCGTCGCCCGTAGTTCCACCACCCTCCCCTGTCCGACAGTTCCTTCAGGCTCTCTTACAGGCCTGCATATCCCCTCGTTCTCTTGGAATCTAGTTGGTGTCGGCTGTCTTCAGGACCTCGCCGTCACCACT